AACGCCATGTAGGCATTATTTAAAACAAGAAAAAGAACCGTTAAATGACGTCCGAAAAATATAAAACGATTGTGAACCACCTGATATTTGTCTCAATATTGTTGGGAAAGAGTTTGATATTGTAAGGCCCATCGTGGTTTCAAATCGTTCCCCTATTTCTAAAGCAGTCCATCATCCGGGCCGCGAGCCCAAATTTGGGAACGCTCTCGTACACTGGCGCTGCAAGCGTTCCTTATTATGGGAACGGCGTACCCATAATTGGGAACGATTTCACCGACGCCTTTCAGGGGCTCTTTTCATTAACAAGCATCACGTCCAACGCCGCAAATTATTGTTAACGCAACAATCATCAGATGACCTTTCCGGCAAGACCGTCGCATGTTTCGCCCGGTCTTCTGCGCTTTTATTCCCGTCGATCTCGCAGCGGGCACGCCCCCCTCTGCAGGATTACGTAATTCACAACGCTCAGCGATGTTCAACAAGGTCTTCCATACCTATATCCACCGTCCGCGCCGAGGGTGGAGACATGTCAAGCACCTGTCTGTTTTATGTTTATCACCGGTAGTTGACGAGCACAAGGAAGTATCCAAAAATGGGAACGCTGAATATGTTACACCCTCAAAACACCTAGTCCCAATGAAAATCTAGTTTTTTCCTTTCTTGATGAGTGTAAGTGGCAAAAGGCCTGGTAGGATGGGCACGAGGAATGATCGAACTCAGCATAAAAATTATAAATAAGCCACACAGAGCGACCTATATAAGAGAAATTCCCCCAAAACGATCACGCTTAGAAACACGGAAGACAAAAACCACGCTCATGACGCTCCTTATAAAACAACTCTAAACAGCTAGCATCCAAATAAAATATGTCTATCTGGGATGATATAATACAGCTGAATAATTCTAAACCACTGAAACTGAGTTTACGACAGTAGTTCGGTAAAATCACTGACGTTCCATGCGGTCGTGCGCCCCGAACCAAATGTCACCAATATTACCCCCGGACTGTCCGCGTGTTCGCTTGCATACGTCAGCATCTGGTGTCGCTAGTATGAAACTTCATAACCAGGCGAAAATTATTATACTTGACCTCAAAATGTAAAAAACGCTTCATTTTCCTTAAAATTGCAAGTTAAATGTAGTATAACCCATGTTTTCACCATTCCGTCATTTCAAAAAATCATTAAAAATATCATTCGACGGTCAATTTCCTTGTGCAACGGTCAGATTAAAGATAATTTTATAGAGACTTAGTAGATACTTAAATTAGCGTGCACTTTTTTGAGACGTGATGCACTAATGAGTTTTAGTGGGCGAACGGCCGAAAAATTACCTTCCGTTCCCATAAATGGGAACGCCCGTTCCCATATTTGGGAACTCCGTTCCCAAAAATGGGAACGTTCCTATATTTGGGTACTCATGACCATAGTTCCGCCTACTGATATCCAGTTTGCTTTGATATTTTGTTTTTTATTCCATGTTGAAGTTGAACACCAAGCTCCAGATATAGCAGGCAGCTTGATCATCTTCGCCTTGGTATAATATCAGTCCAAGTTCAAGTGGTGGGTATCTTCTAATATTCAAATTAAAATGAAAAGCAATACGCTTTCCCAGCGCCGACGACGGATTTCTCACGTTGATAAAAAAGGAAGCTCAAGGTCAGCAAAACTCGGGTTCAAGGAATGGCGGGCGTTGAAATGACTGCTGACGTCATCAAAAGACCGCTAATGGTTAAGAGATAGGGACTAAGCTGGTCCCACCCTGCAAGTAAAGGGAAGAAATTTCTTGAACACCATAAAGCTGCGGGGGTTGCGACCAGGATAAATGGTGGTTTCTGAGCCTGGCCGCAAACTTGGCTATCTCAACTCAAAACTAATGTTAAGGTGGGATGGTCCCTTTAAGAAGTATGCAAAAAATTAGGAAGGTGTTCTTTCTATAACCCTCGCCGGCCGAGGGGGGGGGGGGCGGGTGCCGCCCCCCATAGGGTTTTTTCGCGATAGCTCCGAACACGCTGGCGATGGAGAGCTGAAACTTGGCATACCTGACCTTTGATCCAAGCCGCATCTTTTGACACCAACCGCATTTTTAAGTCAGGTCAGGTCACTGACCTATGACGTCATAAGTGAACCTCTGCACGGTCTTCAGATGTCGCAACTTCGCAACGCCCTCACTGCCAGAGGAGATGTCACAGGGAAATGAAACTTGCAGGATCTAGTATCCATTATGAGTCCCACAATTTGTATATCTCGGATTTTTCCTAAAGGTCATATGAGGTCAGGTCATTTTCGTGACCTCACCATTATAAGTCAATGGGGAAAAATGAAAACTGCTATTCTGGCGCCGGGAACGATCTCCAACTATCTCAAGCACACAGAATCGTGATTTGATGCACTCCTTGCAAGGTTAGATGCGTCACTTTTGCAATGTTGACCTTGCGTGACGTCATTTATGACGTCATCAAGGTCATATTAGTTTTTCGTCAATAACTCTTGATCAAATTGAGCTAGCGAGTCGAAAAAGCCACCAATGGACTCAGGAAGACCTGCCGAATCGAATGATATGCGACATGACCTCTTTCGACCAACTTCGTGACCTGGGGGTGCTGACCTGACCTTGACCTGAGGTCAACACCCCAAGTTGACCTGACCCGGACAAAAAGTATACCATTCGACGCGCCTGAGCGAGACGAACACGATGCTACCAAAATCGGCGCTCTGCGGCCGTTTTTTGCGAAGTTATTCACCAAAAACTGAACCGTACCTTGGGGCACTTGACCTGACCTCAGAGGTCACCGGTTGACCTAGGACCTTAAAATCGGGTACCAATCTCTGCGTCTCGTAACGGTGCACACGCTCGTTTTTTCCGCGACGCGCTAGCTCCACCAGGGGCGAAACGGCGAGGGGGGGGGTCGTACCCGCCCCCCCCCCCCTCGGCCGGCGCGTATGTAGAAAACCAATAGGTCCGGCGAGGGATAAATGTATTTATTTTACGTCACGATAACGGTTTCGAATAGTGATTTCGGGATGGGAGCTTACAAATGGCGTGGTAAAGCTGCCTAGTGACATCACGGGTTACTGAAATTTCAATTCAAGTCTGAGTCATCTAAAAAAAAAGTGAAAAGAGGGTTCATTCAACCCTCTTTCCTATAATCGCGAGGGTGAAAAAGGCTGTTTGGTTCTGACATTGTTTTGGACGCCAATGACCATAGCTGTCCGAGATGAAAGTTACATACATGGTGTCTTCCAGAGGTGTCACAACTTGTATATCTGGGAATTTTTCAAGGTTACATGAGGTCAGGTCGGTCACGTGACATCACTGTTATAAATCAATGGGGAAATATAAAAACTGTTATTTTGGCGCCGATAATGATCTAAAACTATCCCACGTACATGGTATCATGATTTCATGCACTCCTTGCAAAGCCCAATGCTTTACTTTTGCATTGTTAACCTTGCGTGACGTCATTTATGACGTCACTAGGGTCGTACGAGTTTTTCGTCAATAACTCCCGATCAAATCGAGCTAGAGAGTCGGGAAAGCCACCAATGGACTCAGGAAGACCTTCCGAATCGAATGATATGCCATATGATACCCTTTGCCCAGCTTCGTGACCTGAGGGGCTCTGACCTGACCTTGACTTGAGGTCAACTACTTAAGTTGACCTCACCCTAGCAAAAAGTATACCATTCGATGCACCTGAGCTAGGCGAACACAATGTTGCCAAAATCGCGGCTCTGCGGCCATTTTTTGCGAAGTTATTTACTAAAAACCGAACCCGTAACTTCAGTCACGTGACCTGACCTCAGACGCTACCGGTTAACCTGAGACCTTAAAATCGGGTACCAATCGCTGCGACTTGTAACGGCACACACGCTCATTTTTTCCGCGAGGCTCTAGCTCTATTAGAAGCGAAACGGCGTGCTGGGGTTGTATCAACCCCTCCGAAACCCATTTTGTTTGCGGGAAAATGAGGAACTTATAGAAAGAACACCTCTCTAATTTTTTGCATCTCGATTTGCAATGACATGAAGATTATTTTGAAAAAATAAGAATGTGAAAAATTTTGGTCCCAAAAGTCATTAGAGGCAAATGAAAAAAGATTAAGGTTTTTGCTCAACAATGAAATTTTTTCTTTTGAATTTTTAAATAGTAATATTAATTTTTGATTCATCGTAAGCTTAGTGTTGTTTACTTTTTGTTGGTTGCTGTTGTGTTGCCTCTTCACTGTGGCCTCGTGAGAGGCGGGCGGCCGAAAACAATCACCGGAACTGCCGGACATGTATTCTGCCGCCGCACAACAAGATACCAAAAACCCACGTGACCAACGCCTACGCCGCCATTCCCGGAAGTCCACCCCGGACTTAGTAGTGGGCCGATGCCGTGACTAAACACAAGACGAGAGGGCGGTGAGCATTCTTACAATTATAGTGCCTATCAAATAAGAAACTAAGCACGACTACAACGCGTGGGCATGAAACGTCTACATTTTACAAATCACATTGGCGCCGGTTCGGAATTTGCAATCAGCTGACACGACTTGGGTCTTCCCTAAAAATAACAAAGCAACCTCGCACAATTCTGGCGCAGCTGATACGAACACTGAACAGCGCAACTAAATTCACGACACAACACCACCCCTCTCTTTGAGGGAAAACACACCCTATGAAAACACCCAGGCACAGGTACGGTGCTGAGCTAAACTGTACACGCGCAAACTCGCCTAACCTACGGCGAGAAACGCTTCCGCGGCCTACGCACCCTACGGCTGCGGCGCGGGGCCGCATGCTCGTCAGGGGCGGCACCGACTGGCGCCGCTGGGACAGGACTGGTACCCCTGGGCGGCTCGGGACACACATCATCGGTAGGAGCGGGGTCCACGGTCACAGGGGCTGGGTCAGTAGGCTCGGGCTCGCCCCCGACTGGGTAAAAGGTCACCGGCACCTCGCGATCAGCTTCCCCCGGGCGGCCCGGTACCAGGCGCCTGGCATGCACCCGCTCACCTGTGGCCAGCCTGTAGCTGACCGGACCGGTCCTGCGGCTCACCTGCACAGAGCGCTGCCCCTCGACCCGGCCCGTCCCGGGCTTCCGTACTCGCACCCAGTCGCCAGCTTCCCATCGCGGGGCGGCCGTGGCGGTGCGGTCATACCGGGCCCTGTAGGTCTCCTGGTACGACTGGTGATGCTGCCGGACAGCTCGATCCTCGGCAGCACGGCCGGACGGGGTCACATCGGACGGGGTCACATCGAGAATCGTCCGCGCCTCCCGCCCCCTCATCAAAACAAAGGGCGACACTCCGGTCGCCGGGTGGACCGTGACCCGGTACTCACCCAGGAACTTTCTGACAAACGTCGAGCGCGGCTCCCTCGCCAGGCGAGCCGACTGGATGGCTTCCTTAACCGTCCGGTTCAGCCGCTCGACCATGCCGTTGGTCTGCGGCGAATAGGGCGAACTAAACGTCTGTTTGACGCCCATGCAACCCAAAAACTCGGCGAGTCGGCCCGACCGGAACGCAGGGCCGTTATCTGACAGTAGCTCCAGCGGCACACCTTCGCGAGCGAACACTGTCTCCAGGAACTGGCAGATACTGTCTGCCGTCGCGTCCTGGCAGAGCGCGACCTCCGGCCACCGGCTGTACATATCGACGAGCACAATGCCGTAGCGCTCAGACGACGGACCTCTCATGGGACCGATCACGTCCACCATGAGGCGCTGCCACGGTCCATCTGGGAGTGGGATGGGCTGGAGGGGCGGCCTCTCCCTCCGCACGTGCCCATCGTGCTGAGAGCAGACCTCACAGCTCTTCAGCAGGTCACGCACCTGCCGGTCCAGGCGCGGCCACCAGAAACGCTCACGAAGCCGCTGTTTTGTGCGGACCACCCCCTGGTGGCCCGCGTGCGCGTTAGTCAGAACGCGCTCGCGCAGCGCCGCTGGCACCACCAGCCGGTCACCGCGGAGCAGCAGCTGGCCATGTACGGACAGCTCGTCCCGTACCTGAAAGAAACCAGCTGCTCGGGGGTCAACGTCCCTCTGGCGGGGCCACTGCCCGGACACGTACCCACGGACGACGCTGAGACACTCGTCGGCCGCCGAGGCGTCGCTGAGCTCCTCCTCAGAGATGGCTGCTGCCACCGTCAGAGCTGCAATCTGGAGATCGTCATCATCCGGCCACCAGGTCTCGGCTACCGGCAGCCGTGACAGGCCGTCGGCCACGGTGTTCCGCTCCGAGCGGACGTACTCAACGTCGAAAGAAAACTCGAGCAGGCGGGCCTCCCACCGCGCGACACGCCGCCCGACGCGCGTGGAACCCTTGGGACCGAAAATGGTACACAGAGCCTGATGATCCGTGCGCAGAGTGAATTTCCGCCCCCAGAGATAGTGGCGAAACTTCTCACAGGCCCACACCACGGCCAGCGCCTCCTTCTCCACAGTGGAGTAGTTACGCTCGGCCGGAGAGAACGACTTAGACGCGTACACGATGACCCTGGGCGACCCCGAGGCGTCGATCTGCGTCACACACGCGCCTGCTCCGACGTCGCTGGCGTCGGTCGTCAGCACCGTGGCGAGCGCGGGGTCGAACATACCCAGCGCCGGTGACTGACGGATGGCGTCCTTGACGCGCTGGACGGCGCTGGACAGCGCCGGCGACCACTCGAACTTGTCAGCGCGCAGCGCAGCTCGCAGCGGCTCGACCAGGTCCGAGTACCGCGGCATGAAACGGGCGTGGTAGCCCGTGGCTCCCAGGAAGGCGCGGAGGCCCTTCTCGTCCTGTGGCTCTGGAGCCTCCAGCAGCGGACTGATCCGCCCTGGGTCGATCTGCACACCGGCCGCTGAGATCCTGTAACCGAGGAAATCAATGTCACGGCAGCCGGTGGCACTCTTGGACCAGTTCACTTTCACACGGTGGTCCTCCAACCGCCGCAGCACCTGCTTCAGGCGAGCGTCATGCTCCGCCTGGGACGGTGCGTGGATGATGATGTCGTCGAGGTACACCTCCACCCCGGGGATGCCCTCCAGCATCGACGTCATCACCCTCTGAAAACAAGGGCCGGCACTCGCCAGACCAAAGTTTACACGGCGGAACCGGTACAAACCCTTGTGGCTGACAAACGTGGTCAGGTTCTGGCTGTCGGGATGCAGCTCCAGCTGGTGGTACGCGTCCTTCAGGTCCAGCCTGGAGAACATCAGCGAACCACGGAGCCGATCGAGAACGTCCTCAATCCTCGGGAGAGGATGACCATCCGTGATGACCGCCTGGTTCACCCTCCTCATGTCAACGCAGAGGCGGATGGCACCGTCCCGTTTCCTGCCAACGACCAGCGGTGAGATCCAGGGAGACGCGCTCACCTTCTCAATCACACCCTGGGCCTCCAGCTCATCAATCCGGGCACTCACTGCGTCCAGCACAGCCAAAGGCAGGCGGCGCAGTGGCTGGCGCACTGGTGGTACCCCTGGGTCAACTGTCACTCGGTGCTGGTACCCCAGGATAGCGGGTTGGGCCCCCGGAGAGGCTGGTAGCTCGTCAGGTGGGCTGGTGGGTTGGGCAGGCTCAGGAGAGGACACACAGGTGGGGTTGGTGGACACACTGCACACACGGTTGCCCACAATACAAACATCAAACACTTCCATCAGGTCAAGGCCCATCAGAGCGCGTCCTGACGGCACAACATACACTTTGACCAACTCGGTTTTCCCCCGGCATGACACATGAACACTTTTCACCCCCAGCACATTTAGCACGCTCCCCCCGTAGGCACAAAGGCTCTCCTCGGCTGCCCCGAGATCACCCTGCACAGAGTCCCTCGGCAGGATGGAAACTGGAGACCCTGAGTCCACAGTGAAAGTTACCTTGAGCCCCTCTACCTCAGCATCAAGGGTCAGCGGCACGGCACTAGCCCCAACAGCTAGCACCTGGACACTAGAAACCACACTAGCACCGCAGTGCTGGGCAAAGTGGTTGGTCTTACCGCACTTGGAGCACTTCCTACCGAACGCTGGGCAGCTGCGGTCACCTCTGCGATGTCCAGGGCGCCCGCAGCCCCAGCACTCAGGGCCTGCTGTCTGCTGCTGTGGTTGCTGCCGTCTCGGCTGCTGCTGCCTCCCCTGCGGAAGCTGCTGCCGTCCTTCCTGCTGCTGGGCTGGGACCGGGCCGGAGCGTCGGCGTCTGGACCCCCCTCGCTGAAACTTCTGTGGCTGCAGGGCCTGGACAGGCACAGGCACGGCTGGTCCCTCGATCACCTTTGCTTCTCGTTCAGCAGACTCCAGGGTGTCGGCCAGAGTCAGGGTCTTCTCCAGAGTCAGACCTGACCCTTCCATGAGAAGCCGCTGCCTCAGCTTAGAGCTCACGGTTTTCTCAATCACCTGGTCCCTGATAAACTCGTCCATCTGGGCACCGTACTCACACGTGCTGGCCAACTGGCGCAGCACGGAGACCCACTGGCTGGTGGTCTCACCTGGTTGCTGCCCCCGGCTGCGAAAGCGGTAGCGCTCAACACAAACATTCTGTTTGGGAGCGAAATGGGCCTCGAGGCGGCGCAGGCACCATTGGAAGTCGTCCTCGCTTTCCAGCTTCTCCATGGGTGGCAGATTCTCAAACACCCGCTGCCCCTCCGTCCCTAGACAAGTCAGGAGGACAGCTTGGCGACGTGCGGGAGGGAAAGCGTCACCTCCGACCGCACACAAAAAGTTCTCAAACATCCTGACCCACCGAGGCCAGGGAATCGCCGGCTCAGCTCCAGCGGTGGGCAAAAACGGCGCGGGAGCCGCCGCGAAATCCATGGTGAAAAATCACTGTTCGAAGTCCTCAGTCGCCACTTTGTTGTGTTGCCTCTTCACTGTGGCCTCGTGAGAGGCGGGCGGCCGAAAACAATCACCGGAACTGCCGGACATGTATTCTGCCGCCGCACAACAAGATACCAAAAACCCACGTGACCAACGCCTACGCCGCCATTCCCGGAAGTCCACCCCGGACTTAGTAGTGGGCCGATGCCGTGACTAAACACAAGACGAGAGGGCGGTGAGCATTCTTACAATTATAGTGCCTATCAAATAAGAAACTAAGCACGACTACAACGCGTGGGCATGAAACGTCTACATTTTACAAATCACATTGGCGCCGGTTCGGAATTTGCAATCAGCTGACACGACTTGGGTCTTCCCTAAAAATAACAAAGCAACCTCGCACAATTCTGGCGCAGCTGATACGAACACTGAACAGCGCAACTAAATTCACGACACAACAGTTGCTTAACCCGTTCTTGAGTTATAGGCCATCAAACTCACCGTTACATACCGAAGTTAAAAAAATGTAATGCAATATAACTCAAAAAGTTTTGATCTGAGAAGTCTGATATTTTGCCAGGCGTCTTTGGGGCCTATGCTTACCCCTAGGACCGATTTTCAATAAAATCTGAGAGATGAGGGTGACGGGCCTGGTACGATCTATCGTGGAATGCCCCAGCACTTAAAGGTAGTGTGCCACCTTTGAAAGATTTCCCATTTTATTTTTCCTAGGATAAGAAGCTTCTGTTTTTACCTAATATCGCAAAAAAAATCAAAAATGGGCCTGGAATAGTGCCTTTTTCGCCTAAAAGTTTTTCGGCTTTTCGATATGTATAACAACTGTAGTGGGCTCACCTGCAAACAGGCGTCGGGCAACAATCGCGAATGCGGCGCACTTGTGACAATAAGCAAAGGTCATTATAGTGTTACGACCATACGACGTACGGGAATGAGTTATCAGCTGTCTAATCGTAGACAACACAATGTCGAGCCTTAAACTGTAAGCCCGTATTGGTATTGTTTCTTTTATTTGGCTGTCGAACATTATTTATGGTTTGAAATATGATTTTATGTAAAATAATTGATATGAAAAAGCCGTCTTATAAGTTATGACCCCATTTCACCACACGCAAGTGGCAGAAATGACAATGATCAGCTGACGCATTTTTCTTGGCCGAAGTCAGAGCGCGCTGCCCGACGCACCACGCGTATTTGGAAATTCCGACCTCGACGAGCATCAGAGGCCACCTAACAGGCGTGTTCGAAACCGCAGGAGATGATGATGAACGGGTTTATCGAAACTTGATTGAATGAGCATATCGGTAATAGCGATTTCAGTGTGTGCATTTATTGTTCATAGTGGTGTGAAATGTGGTTGGGGTACGACCGACAACCCGTCGGGGCGAATTTCGCACTGGGGTACTCAAAATTTGAAGAATTTAAGACGTTTCCATGAGTTTTGAAGGTATGGATAAGTTCTAAAAATCCGGTTCTCCTTATCTGGGCCATTAACTCCATACGGTCCAAGAAAGCTGGCACACTACCTTTAAAAGTGCGTAAACGGGATGGGCTACGATAAACCTGCCAATAGATGGCGGGTGTGAGCTGTCTGAAGTGGTAGGCTGACCCGCAGTGGTGCAGTGTATTGCGGAACAGCCTACCAGCGCAACAGTGGAATGAGTTTCGCAGGGGATGGAAAGAAAGTGGGCTCGCCGCTCAATATTCCTACACAATGGGATATATTATGTCGCAATAATATATCATATGTCGCAATAATGTGTCTGCAGCTCGCACATCGGTCGTGTTAGTACCTACTGCGACGGCTGCTTTGGTTCTCACCAAACTTGTATGTGGTATTTACGGCCCAGTTAACTCACTCGAAGTCGCGCTCGACATCGCAGTTTCGCATGTGCTCCTGCTTGCTGCGCACTCGAGCGAAGCACTCGGGCACTCGGTCTACAATAGTACAAACTGAGGACATCTGAGAGTATAAACGAACTGTGCTTGATTTAAGAGTATCCTTTTGGCCTTTACCATCATTGGTCGGGCATGATAGATGTGGGAGTATCGCCTCTAATATAACGGACCGTATAGAACAGCTATACTCGTACAGGTGAGCATGACCGCCTTACCACCAGAGCTAGACAGTAGGCAGGGGTGAAGATATCCTCCTGCTGCCACGCCACGGGAGGATAGTACTGCGATACAGGTAGTACCTTCTCCCCGTGTCAGGAGCAAGACATTTTGACGGGAGAGCTGAGAATATTGTCCTATTGCCACGGGCCAGATAGATCTGCGATACAGGTAATACCTTCTCCCTGTCAGGAGCCAGGCAGTGTGACGGGAGAGGTGAGTGCATATCTGACGATGATTTCCCTCGGGACGCCACGCCAGCCGTCCGAAATGACGGGCTGAATCCATAAGGTAAAAATGGGCCGCTTTTGAGAGCGCGTCTTGAATTTTAGAGCCACGAGAGGCGCATATTGCATTGGAAAATCGTATCAGAGGTAATAAAGTGAGCAGGTCTCCAGAGAATAAGCAAAAAACATGTTGGTGAAAAAAGAAGCAGATATGATGTTATTATTCGCATGCGAACAGCATGATAAACATAGTTCTGGGGAAAATGTTTGAATTCGGAAATGATGTATTCCGGGAGGCTCTAAGTCCACTTTGTATGCAGTTGGTTTCAACAAACACTTGTCAGACGCCGATAACTTGACATAGTTAATTAACTCAAACAAAGTGAACGATGACTTTACGTCGGTATGCATTTCGAGGCACATATTGTGGTGTACCAGAACAGTATATTCAAGATTCATGAACTCTGCAGGCTGCGTTGCATTCTATGCATGCTACGCATGTAGTTGATTAATACGCAGAATCGCATTAAATTACCGGGCAAGATAACCAGTCATAAAACTAGCTACCGATTCGGATGTCTTAGCAAGTAATTCTACTGACATGTTAGTCTGTGGTGGTCCAAAACCAGCAAGCATCGTTGGTGTTGTAGGGGGGCCTCTCTCCTCAGTCGCCCTGGGCTCTGGTTTGTGTTGCCCTGGTGCGGGTCGGCTCTGAGCGGACTTTGATCTCAGCCGTCCGCCCTCGGTGAGGAGTGCATTTAGCAAGGCCATTTTGAGGCCAGTCAGTCTTTGGCGAACACACAGGCACTGCATCATTGGGTTTCACCGCCACAAAAAAAAAACACAGGGGGGCAGTTAAGCGTTTGTTCTGGATCCCTCGGGCATGGTCCATCCCTGAGGATAATAAAAGGGTGCTAGGTGGTCGAACTGATTAACCTAAGCGCAATTGCTCCCGCAGACACTCATCCAGTCTCACACACTTTCACTCATCTGACTCAAACTTGTCCGTATTGCCAAACTGCGACGTCTCGCTTCCCTCCCCCTTTTCCTATCCCTGCAGTCGATCCCACGTCCTAAATTACCTCGGCTCTGGAGTACCCTAGGAACCTTTGAACTTCCACTCTGCCTATCGGAGTTAATCGAAACACATCAATTAATTCTACACGTTCCGCCTAATGGGCCCTTTCTACTCATCGATGGTCTACATTAGGGATCACAAAGCACGTCTTACTACGTATTATCTCGCGTCTTACTGCAACTCCCGACGACTTACAGCGTATAACTCGCGTCTTACAGCGTCCTTGCCCTATAACGACTAAGTGACGACTTACAGCGTATAATTCGCGTCTTACGGTATCGTCCCCCGATAACCGGCGTATAATCGCGACTTACGGTATCTCTAACCGATCACCTGCGGTTATTCGCGTCTTACCGCGTCCTTGCCCTATGATGACGACGTGACGACTTACAGCGTATATTTCGCGCCTTATTACGGCTGGCACCGCTTTATTGCGTATTCGCGACTTACGGCGCGTACCGTCCTGGAACCGGGACTAGCGTCTTACGGCGTAACTTTCCGAGGCACCTCGTATTAAACTGCCGTCGCAGCCTACCTAAATAAGCAAATGCACAATGTCCCCCAAATTACCCGACTCACCGCGATGTGGATCCGTTCATCGACTAACTGCGGTCACTGGGTTACCATTGTATCGCATGTAACGTTCTCTGCCGCTCTGCCGATGGCATCCACCCTGCCAGTGATGGATACGTCCGAGCTTGACGCAGGCCATTCCTATATTTAAATTTTACCCGAACTCTACTGGAGTTATTCCCGAACCTATCGAGGTGTAAGTACCAGTGAGGGACCTATGTTCGCGACTTACGGTGTCTCCCCGATCACCTGCGTATCGCGTCTTACGGTGTCTCCCCGACCACCAGCGTATCGCGTCTTACGGCGTCTCCCCGACCGCCAGCGTATATCGCGCCTTACGGTGTCTCCCCGACCACCAGCGTATCGCGTCTTACGGTGTCTCCCCGACAACCAGCGTATATCGCGTCTTACGGTGTCTCCCCGACTACCAGCGTATATCGCGTCTTACAGTGCCGCCCTCCGGTCACAAGCGTATGTTCGCGCTTTACTGCGTGCTCCTAGGTGTCTTAGTGTCCCGTTTCCGTTTGCTCCCATGTAACTAGACTTGGACGTTTTTCAGGTCCCTTCTCCCCAATGATGCGTCCTTACCGGCAGAACTTAACGCGCAGGGGCGTGGTCGCATGCTCCTTCCTCTCTTCCGCCCGGGCTAAACACGTCCTATTATGTCGTACGCTCCATTCCTGTCAGGGGTCTCGTTTCTAATCCTAGGTTCCTGGTTATATGTGCGAGAATATCATGCCTACGCGGTGGGCGAATCGTGAATCCTCCAGCCTCCGAAACTTGTC